CCACGTTTTCAGATGGAACTGCACGAAACAGGCAAACGGAGACTCACCATGCACTCCTGTGGCTACAAGCTGAGGAGGTCACGGAAACAAGCCTATGGAAGCATCATTCTTCCACCTCTTCTGCTCCAACAGCCTTGGCAGGGAAGGCTAATCACCCAGGTTCCTATTAGCTTCGCCTTGTTTTACGGCTGGGGGTCACCACAACATGAGGAACTTGTTCTCCCCAAACACTGGCTCAGCCTTCGGGGTGGAAGTTGGAAGCTGAAGTCTGGAGGCTGCTGCTGAAGCTTGTAGAGAGCACCTGGGAAAGCACATGAGCGTTTCCTTAATTATTGTCAGCTGAGTCCAGGGCGTTGGCAGAGCCACGTCCTGGAGACATACCGTGCCAGAGGCAGGAGTGTTGTCAGCCTGACCCTTCGCTCAGGTGCCAGGGGTGGGTTTCATTATTGAGGTTCAGTCAGGAACAAGTAACGGATGCGATTATCTGAGCTTAGCCAGGAGTGACAGCTACACAGAAGCCGCAAGAATGAAGAATTACAGCTTGGTTTTAACCATGATTTCACATAATTCCTTTGTTTTAAGCTCTAGTAAAACTTCCTGGAATCATGGTGTGTATAATAAACATACTGCACCAGCTCTGGGTCACTGTCTCTCCATCAGAGGGCCAGCTGTCCCACCCTGCCCCCGATTTTCCCCTTCGTCTCTGTGTCTGTCTCTTTCTTTCATTTTCTCAATCCCCAGCCGCCCCTACTCAGGTTTCGTGGTCTGCTCTCTAGTGGAGCTGGATGCTGTCCAACAGAGAATTACTTACAGAAGCTCAGTTGAGCTGTCCCGCACTTAGAATATTTGGAAAGGTCTTCAGACCCAAACCTTGGATCTCAGTTTCCCCAGCACCCGGCCCTTATGAACGAGCTCATCATAGGGGCTCTGCTGGCGTGAGATCGGGACAGAGACGCAGGCGCTGGCGCTCAGGACCCAGAGGAGACAGTACATGCTCAGAAGGCCTTGAGCTAAATTTAGGGAAATCAGTGTTGATCTCTAACCTGTTCAAGGACCAAAATTGCCCAAAGGAAATCCATGAACCCCAGAGACTTAGTAGTTCATTTCATTTCTACCTAATTGGATGGTGTACTAGTCAGGGTTCTCTAAAGCAGTGGTTCTCAACCTTTCTAATGCCGCGACCCTCTAATACAGTTCCTCATGTTGTGGTGACCTCCACCCATAAAATTATTTTCATTGCTACTTCAACGACGGACTTAGGTGACCCTGCTAATGGTTCTCAACCTGTGGGTCACAACCCACAGATTGAGAGCCGCTGTTGTAGAGCCTAAGACCATCAGAAAGCAAAAATATTTACATTATGATTCATTAACAGTAGCAGAATTACAGTTATGAAGTAGCAACGAAAATAATTTTATGATTGGGGGTCACCACAACACGAGAAATTGTATTAAAGGGTCGCAGCATTAGAAAGGTTGAGAACCACTGCTCTAAAGAAACAGAACCAGTAAGAAACAGGTAGATTGATATTTGATAGATAGATAGATAGATAGATAGATAATAGCTAGATAGGTACATAGACAGATGAGGATGATGGGAGATGATAAATAGATGATAGATAGGTAGATGATAGATATAGATAGATAGATAGAAAGATAGATAGATATAAATAGAGTTAGATAGTTGATAGATAAGTAGATGATAGATAGTTATATAAATAATATATAAAATATAATAAATCTATAGGATATACTAAGAGATGTAGGAGAGATGGTTTTAAGGACTTGGATTCTAGAATTTGGGGGTCTGTTAAAACCAAATGTGCCCAGCAGGCTGGAGCCATAGGGGGCGGTTGACGTTGTAAGGTCATGTCACCTACAAAAACTGTCCCTGAGTGCTATTCATCTCTCCTCATGGATCCAAGTACTCACAGCCTGACCCCTCTGGCCAAGTTTCAGGGGCCAGACGGCCTTGTATCACACAGCTCACTCCCAGGGCCATTCACACGCCTTCGCAGTGTGGGCCACCAGAATTCACAGGGACCTGGGCCCGAATCCTGGCTCCGCCACCGGCATGCTGCACCAACTGAAGACAGGTCCGTAAGCTGAGGAAGCATCAGCTAAACACAGGAGCAATGCACGCTCATGTATTCATTCCGCTTCTACTCACTGAGCAGCAATGAAGAAGCGAATCAGCCAAACCCGAGGTTAATCCCCTGATGCCAATGAGAACACAGTGAAGCACTTTGGACAACAGCTCGTTACTCAGTAACACCCGCCGGTTCCCTGGCTTGGCCCTGAGACGGGCGCTCCGTCCTGTAATTGTGGGAAGCGCACGCTCGGGCCCATAAAACGTTTGTCTTAGAAGCCTCTCTGGCTTCAGCATGGGGAGACCACGGAGGTTCTTCTCGTTTTGAACGCTGGTGCCAGCGGCAGATCGCACACAGAAAACCCGGCTCCGCCAGAGGGAGCGGCTGTTTTTAAGTACATTCGGGGTTTTCAGTCCTGTCCCTGGCGGTTTCAGCGAGCATAAATGTTGATTGCGAAACACCTCTCACTAATTAAAGGGGACGCCTCTCGGAGAGCCGTGTGAACAGACGTCTGAATTCACTTCTTAAAGCTTGGATACTGCTCCCCTGGCCGCCTCCAGCCGCAGAGAAATTCACCCCGCATCTCCCAAACGGCCTCACGCTGTGTGAACGGCCTTTGAAACGATTGTTCAGCCTGGCGCCCGCGACACTGGGAAGCTAGCTCTTCCGCACAGCCATGTGAGGAGACCAGGCTGAGGGAGTGTCATGTGATGGGACTAATGTGGCAGAGCCGAGAGGCACACGCCCTGCCGACCTGGGCAATTCTCCGCAGCCCACCGCCCTGTCCTCCAACCGAGACACCGTGCCTCCAGGAGTCTCGCCATGCCTGAACCGTTATCCCCAGTCACGCTGTGGTGAGTGGGTCTGTGTCCCTCTGAGAACTGGAATAGACTATCTTCCCACCATGGCCATGAGCGCTGAGTTCACGACCCATCCCTGACCCCCTGTCCGAATCCTCTGTCCACGTGAGATACAGCATGTTGGCGGTGATGTTGTGTTTATGCTTAGATGCAGTGTGATAAAGGAGTATGCAATGGATTAATAAATATGCAAAAGAACCAGCATTGGAACTCAACCAACAAAACCTCATGACTCACCCTAAGCCTCACCCCACAGACTCCCAGACCCCAGGGCTCCTCCCCCTCTCTCCCCCGGCATCCTAGCTGAGGCCAAAACAGAGAAAACCGGGCAGGATGGGGAGCAAGGCCTTATGAAGAAACGGCTGGCTGTGCCCCGTGCAGAACTAGTCAATGGCGCAGCCCTGAGCTCGCACCGACAGCATGGAGCAGGGACAGGAACAGGAGTCGGAAGTCACATTGGCCAGAAGCTCGGAAGGAGGTCTGCTGTCCTGGGACGGGATGGAGCTCACAGTCCACTGAGGCTGGCAGCGTCTGCATCAGGTTTCACGGCCAATAGCAGCTCTTCCCTTTGGGGTGAGAGTCACCGACAGGGAGGTCCCCCTGGACTCGGAGGCATCGCTCCAAAGGCCCGGCATGGTCTGTAGTGGGGGAGGGGGTTAGCGGCAGGAGGCCCTGTAGACAAGTGGCTAGTGGCCCAGCCATAGCCGCAGCCATAGCAGGACCCGTATCCACAGCCAAAGCCACAGCCAGAGCCATATCCACAGCCACAGCCTCGGCCCCGCAGGAGTCCCCGAAGTAGCTGCCGCCCATGGTATGAGGGGGTCAGGTGAGGTGCCCGGGGTGCAGCTAAAGTCTGCGTGTCCACCCTCTCCCAGGACCTGATGTCCCTCCCGGCAGCGGATGCTCCCTCTCGAGCTTCTCTCCCTCCTTTACAAGTGTTTGTCCAGGTGAGCTGATCCCGGCCGGTGACCTCGCTGGGAAGCCAGGCTACTGCTGCTCCCTGGACCTGCCTCAGCCTCGAACAACGTTAGTGTGATCGCTAAGCACACGCGTGTGCAACCACCACTGTACCGCCTGTAACTGCGGGAAGAGTCCATGACACAGCGCCTCACCGCGGTAGGTTGGGACCGTGACTGTGTTTACCACTCTGCCCTGTCAACGTCTGAGCCATCACCCATGAAACCCGGGTTCTGCTGTGAATCCTCTCTGCCCCATTACCATCTCCCTCCTCGCGGCATCTTGTTTTTCTCCTTTCCTAATGTTTCCGGGAGGTTCTCACCCTAATCTCCCCTAAAGCGTGTTTCCCAGCGTGGGGCCAGGAGTTAGCACTTCGACACGGGTGTACACACTCCCAAGAACTTTTGTCTTACTCCCCCACTAGAATATGCCCACTTTGAATACAAAAATAATCATTCCTATTCAACATTGCATTAAAGCACATCACAGAAATCAAAGAAGACATAACTATATGTGGGGTGGAAAACTCAATATTGTATTCTACCCAAATTGGTCTATATTCAACTCAGTACCAATTGAAAACTCAGCACGATATATTTAGGGATATTGACAAGCTCATTTTAATGTTTATATAGATACCAAAGATAACTAAGAAAGCCAAAATGCTTTGAAAAGGAGCATTAGCATACTCACATCACTTAATACCAAGATTGATTAGGGCCCTGAAGTAAACCGCCGTGCGGCAGGGGTGAGAGAAGGGACTCATTTGGTGGATGGAGGAATAAACAGACCCGAGAAGGAGCTAAATGGCGGCTGCCTAACGTGGATTGTTAGGATACAACCCTAACCTCAGCAAGGACTCCAGCCACAGAGACACAAACATGTGCAGGAACAAATGCCATTTGTTTATTGAAACTGTGATTTTTTTTCAAACTACAGAGTTTTAATTCCTGTGGACAATACCTTGAATAGAAACAAGAGAACAGAAAAACCACAAATTGACATTTTGAGCACAATCACAATCAAATCTCCCATCTTCAGGTCACACAATGGGCGCATTCACACTGCCTCAATAACAAACAGGAATCGGGTGTAAAAGCAGGAGGCATCCAGTCCTCACCGGGGTGTAGAGATGACAAACAGGCATCCCTTGGAGGAAAGCGTTAATTTTCCATATTTTGTTAGAGGCGCAGAGTGTTGTAGGGGATGTTCTAGCAGCAAGAGGAGTAGCATCGTCGGTAGCAGCAGCCAGAGCCGTAGCCAGAGCCATAGCCACAGCCATAGCCACAGCCGTATCTGGATCCATAGCCACAGCCATATCTGGATCCATATCCACAGCCAGAGCCACAGCCAGAGCCATAGCCAGAGCCGTAGCCACAGCCGTATCTGGATCCATAGCCACAGCCGTAGCCACAGCCAGAGCCGTAGCCAGAGCCATAGCCAGAGCCATAGCCACAGCCATATCTGGATCCATAGCCACAGCCATAGCCACAGCCGTAGCCAGAGCCATAGCCACAGCCCCCGTAGGAGCTGCCGTAGCAGTTGCAGCACATGCTGGCAGAGGTGAGGGTTCGGTGGAGGCGAAGAGGGACGTTGCTGGATGTGAGTGTCTTCTCCCCCCCTGGGAGCTTTATATTCGCTAGGAAAGGCCCGGAATGCCTTCACGTGTGTGACTCACCAGGAAATGCTCACTGATCCCGGCTTGTGCAGGTCACTCCTGTCAGTGATCATGAGAGGACTCGGTGATAAGTGGTCCATTAGTGCAGAGTCTCTCACTTTTACCGGGACCCGTGTTTGTTCCGTGTTGCCTGGGCCTCGTCTTGCGCCGATGACACATCTAGAAGGTGAGTTTCCATCCATTGCCCAGTTCCCTGAACACGTGATGAGAGACGCCTTTTACATAGCACGGCTCTGGGCGGGCCGGGAGTGTATGCCGGGAACCCCCTGATCAGCTTAGGACGCACTGATGACGTCACAAGGGACGTGTCTCATGGGCACAGCGCGGCCCTCCACAGACACTGCTCCACATGCCATAGCACAGAGCGCCTATCGTCCCATCCGCGGCACCATCTTATTGAGGGTATATTCTCACCCCGAGGGCCGCTCCTCAGTAAGGTTTTATCAGTTCAAGGTGGTCATTTCCTTCAAACCAAAATAACAGACACACACACACACACACACACACACACACACACACAATTATCCTTTACTAGAGGCCCAGTGGACAACATTTGTGCAGGAATAGGCCCTCCTTCCCCTGGCTTCCCTCCCAGCCGCCCGGGAGCCAGCACCTCCTCACTTCTGTCTGGAGCACAGCTCCTGTAGCTCCCTCCGCCACCCCACCACCCCTGTTCCCCTCAGAGTAGGCATCCTGCCCCTCCCAGCCACTTCTTGCCTGCATATGCAAATTTGCCTCCATCTTTGTGGGTTGATTTGCATGCTCACTCTGATTGGCTGTGCACGAAGCAGAGTGATGGTTCATTTGCATGTTTCTCTTTTATTAGATAGGATTGTGATGTTGAATGTTCGATCAATAAGAAGTCTTGGGGATTTTAATCTATTGGGTCACAGAGAAATTGTAAACTCAGCAGGGTCTTCCCACACTGTGGAAACGGGGGCACCATGAGGAGGGAAAACTCCCCGAGAGCCCGCAGCTCACCTGGCACCGATCCGGGTTCCGTCACCTTCGTCTGGGACAGGAAGTCTCGCTTTCTAATGCCGGGGCCGCTCCCTCGCCGGGCCCGGAGGTCTCTGCCGCTGCCGGAGGCCTTTCGCGGGAAATCACTTTGTCACAGTTACTTCAGGGTCTCTCCTTTTCCCCGGACACTCTGGTCCTGGATGAACTCACTTCGGCACCTCGTTCGGGAGCCTAACCCCTCAGGCAGCCGCTCCCCTCCCTGTCCCTACGGGGGGTTGTCTCTGACATCCGTCCCCGGGACCGGACCCCGACCTCTGGATGCGCAGACCCAATGCCCAGGGCGTCCACGGCCCCCTGACTCTCCTCCTCCACACGCCCCCCACCCCGCACCACCGACAGGTCAGGAAGAGGACAGCAAGGAGCCTGTGGCAGTGACCGCACAGGAGCAGCACCCACGTGTCAGCTCACAGGATCTGGGGTCTGGGCTCAGCCTGACAGGCATCTGGGCTCAGAATCTCACAATATCACAACCAGGGGCTCGGCCAGGACGTGGGGACACTGCCTTCAGCTCGTACATCGAGCAGAGCTGCCAGGTTTTAGTACGTATGACCCTAATAGTGCATGAAACATATTTATACCCAAAAGTATATTTTTGGCCCTGGCCGGTTTTGCTCCGTGGACACAGAGCATCACCCTGTCGACTAAAGGGTTCCAGGTTGGATTCTGGTCAGGGCACAGGCCTGGGCTGTGGCTCCATCCCCAGTGGGGCCATACAGGAGGCAGCCGGCCCATGACTCTCTCCTCATGGATGTTTCTCTCTCTCTCTCCCTCTCCCTTCCTCTCTGAAATAAAAATATTAAAAATAGACATATTTGTATTTTCATATCTGAAATTCCAATGGTCCATCTTGTGCTTTGCCTATAAGCCCTAAACATACATCTCTCAGAAGCAGCAGCCCGTCACCTTTGCCAGGGTTGGAAGCAGGTGACAGGCTGCTCCTCTCTCCCCACCCCCCGTGATGGGGAGGGATCAGGGGGAGGGGCTCGGGGGAGGGACCCTGTGTCCTGGGGTCATCTGGGACTCTCATGCCCTCACCTGAGAACTCACTTCTTAGGGGCAGGAATGATGGCGTCTCCCAGGGCAGGCAGTGAGTGACTGCGATGAGGCTCCACACGGGGCGTTTCCAATGTGTCTCCTCCTCCTCCTCCTCCTCCTCCTCCTCCTCCTCCTCCTCCTCTTCCTCCTCCTCCTCCTCCTCCTCCTCCTCTTCCTCCTCCTCCTCCTCAACCTCCTCCTCCTCCTCCTCCTCCTCCTCCTCCTCAACCTCCTCCTCCTCCTCCTCCTCCTCCTCCTCCTCCTCCTCCCGCTCAGAGGCCTCTCTCTCCCACGGGGACCAGCTCCTGCCTCTCGGGCATCTTTAACCTGGAAGCTGTCCTTGTTCCGAAATGTCCCCGCCCTTTCCCTCTGCTCACGCTCAGTCCGCCTCCCTGTGGTCTCTTCTGTGACTGCCTCCATCACACAAACCCGAGAGCCAGGGTCCCCGGACAGACAAGGCCACGGGAGCACGGAGGCCTATGTCAGCACACCGACGGCCACAGCCGCTCTGAGCAGAAGCCTCGTCGGTGCCCACGGCCACAATGCCACGAGCAGTGCGAAGACCCAGCACACGGCACCCTCTGCAGCCAGCAGGGTGGATGGCGTGTGCGCAGCGAGCCTTCCTGACTGAGGAGTGACATCCTAGCTGCTGACTGAGGCACACGTGTGTGTGTGTGTGTGTGTGTGTGTGTGTGTGTGTGTGCGCGTGTGTGTGTGTGTGTGGTGCATACATGCATTGTTGGGTGTGCTGAGTAACATGGAGAGAATGGGCAGACCCAGGTCATGGGACACGCATGCACAAGAACAAGCCCGAGGAAAATGAAGTAACAACACAACACGCAGCGAAGAAGCGGCCACCGTTTCAGAGATGAACCCACATGCGTGAGGTTCCGTGTGCCCGGCACCCCCACGGGGCTGGAAGACACAGGGGTGGCGGCGGAGCCTCGGCTGCCGTCTCTGAGGACCTCACGGAGACAGAAGATAAAGACACAGCCGCGAGGACCAACGACATGTTTATTGGGGAAGCGCCACCACGTGGAAGCACAGGGTGGGCGGCGTGGGCCGGCACGTGGCCTCCGAGCAGAACCAGGCCTCCCCCTCCGGGAGCGTCATGGAGTGACAGGGGCCCGGGCAGCACCCGGCCCTTCGGGGGGCCCGTGTCCTGCCACCTCGGACCCGCTCTGCTCGGTGGGAAGTGAGACACCAACAGGGAGGCCGAGGAGGATCGCTTCCGAGGAAAAGGCAAGTGGCAGCTCCATCCTAGCAGCAAGAATAGCACCTTCTGTAGACAAATGGGCGGTATCCACAGCAGCCGCAGCCACAGCCGTAGCCACAGCCATAGCCAGAGCCGTAGCCAGAGCCAGAGCCATAGCCACAGCCATAGCCACAGCCATAGCCACAGCCATAGCCAGAGCCATAGCCACAGCCATAGCCAGAGCCATAGCCACAGCCATAGCCAGAGCCATAGCCACAGCCATAGCCAGAGCTGTAGCCAGAGCCGTAGCCAGAACCATAGCCATAGCCAGAGCCGTAGCCACAGCCGTAGCCGCAGCGGCTGCAGGAGCTGCCGTAGTAGTTACAGCACATGGTGCCTCAAGGGGATCGGTCTTTGGAGGAGGAGCGGCTGGGGGTGGAGTGTGGAGGCCCCCTCCCGCCCTGAGACCTTTATACCCCAGGACGGGCAGGCGGGGCGCCCCACACGACTCCCGCGTGGCCTGTCACACAGCAATCTTCATGGTTAACGAGCTGCTCAGCCTCAGGACACATTCTCCAGGTGTGATGCCCAGGCTGGGCCCAGCCGGTCACAAGAATTGTAACAAAACAGACACAATCCACACAGTGCACAGGGACAGCTCACCTGCCTGAGGGGCACGTGACTGAACACGCCTGTGGAATGTCACCACGCTGGTGCAGGCTTTCCCTCCAGGCCAGGAGGCCCCTGTGCGCCCAGGGACATGAGTGGCCACAGGGCGACACGCCGGCCTCAGCCCTCGGCACCACGGGCGAGTGCCTGGGCTGGAGTGAGGGCCCTCGGCCGGGCCCAGAGCAGGCACCCTCAGGTGATCCGGCGTGTGCAATGCACCCTCAGGGAAGCCCCTCGGTCTTGTCCGGGAGCAGCACCCCATCTCAGGAGCTTCTCAGAAGATGCATCCCTCGCCCTCGGGGCTCAGTGGCTCCATGGTTGAGCATCGACCTAGGAACCAGGAGGTCATGATTCAATGCCAGTCAGGGCACAGGCCCAGGTTGCAGGCTCGATCCCCATTAGGGAGTGTGCAGGAGGCAGCTGATCCATGATTCTCTCTCATCACTGATGTTCCTATCTCCCTCTCCCTTCCTCTCTGAGATCAATAAATATTTTTTTAAAGGAAGCATCCTTGAGATGCACAGCGGGAGCTGTGTGTAACAGCCCTGTCCTCGCACAGCCCAGGTCCAACCGCCGTGGTCTCAGCCCCAAGCCCCTCGGTCAGCGTGAGCCACGCCAATGCCCGTCTGTTTCCTGTGAGTCCACAGAACGAGGCACTCGCCAGCTGTGTTTCCACCTGTAAAGCGGCTATTTTCTTGAAGAGGACATAATATAAGAAAAAGTATTATTATGATTATCTCCCTCTAGAGCTTTGGAGGCACACTCCTACTTATTACTTCATCGGATTCTTTTTTTCTCATTTTTATTGATTTTTTTACAGAGAGGATGGGAGAGGGAAAGAGAGAAACATCGATCAGCCGCCTCCTACACACCCCCTACTGGGGTTGTGCCCGAAGCCAAGGTAACATGCCCTTGACCAGAATCAAACCCGGGACCCTTCAGTCCGCAGGCTGACCCTCTATCTACTGAGCCACACCAGCCAGGGCACTTCATCTGGTTCTTTCATAAACAATGAGAAACAATCTGAGTTCCTCACATGCACACACATTACAGTGAGAAGACCGTGGCCAAGGATGGTCCAGTCTCGCCCAAGAACACGTAGGGCTGGGGTCAGAGTTGAATTAACTCAACTCCTACTCTGACGTAGGCCCTGGCTGCGTGAGTGAGGGGAGGAGATGCGAGACCAGGAGTGTGAGTGTCTGCCTGTAGCAAGCGGAGAAAGGCAGGGCCAGCCCGGGGGAGACAGACAGAGACTCGCTCCCGAGGGTGTTCCTAGAGCACAGAGCTCAGCTCGGGGGTAGGCACCCATGTCTCACAGGACCTACGCGCAAGGCCCTGACCTGCAGGCGCCGTTCCTGGGGTGGACCATGGAGTGAGACATGGGTGCCCAGACCTGAGCTGAGCTCTGTGCTCCAGAAACACCCTCGGGAGCGAGTCTCCATCCCCCCAGCTGGCCCTGCCGTTCCCCACTGGCTACAGGCAGACACACAACTCTTGGTCCCGCATCTCCTCCCCTCACTCACGCAGCCAGGGCCTGCTCTCAGCACAACCCCGCAAAGAAGCTTTCCCACCTACATCCTCACACCGTCTGCCAAAGCCGTTGCAAACTGTTCTAGCAATTAATCCCACAAAAACGTGAGAAGCAGGACCGAAGCATCAGGAAATAAGCGACTCCAATAAAACCCACTAATTTGTCGCCCAAAATAGATGGACAAGCATGATGCCACGTCAGCTGGTGTCCCAGCCTGTGTCAGAGTTGGCAGCTGTGGGGCATACGTATGATAGATGCTCAGAACACGGAACATGGGTGCCTGCCTGTGTCTATTTACAGGAGGACCTGGACACCAACGTGGAGTGGGCTGTGGTCCTCTGGCCGTGGGGCAGTAGCAGGTATAGCTCTCTCCACCGATCAACATCTTCCGCTCCTCCAGTGTGCTTCTGTACATGGCAATGCCCGTCTTCCTTTCCTCAGCCTCCTCCAGAACCACACATACACACACAGAGAGGCACACGTGCACACACAGAGACACCTGTGCACACACGGACATGTGCTCACAGAGAGACACACCCACACACACAGACACACACACATATGCACATGCATGCGTGCACACACAGACACACGTGCCTGCAGAGACATTCATGCACACATACACATACACACGTGCACACTTTTTCTGCTTGTATTGCCCCCGCTCCTCATACGTTAGCAGCACTGGGCGTTCGCTCTGCTGAAAGTATAGAAATTCTCTGACTGAGAGAGACGCACACTTCAGATTCCTAAACCTTGTGAAATGGTAGATTGTGAAGGCTCCTTCCTGGATTATAAATCACCTTACCCGTGCCCTCACAATCATCCTTGCTTTTTGTAGGCTGCCTTCCACGACAAGAAATACCAAACCATCAGCTAACTTTCCAAAGAGCGGTCACTGTCAGCAGTCCCTTCCCGCGATCGGTCCCTAGAGCGCGCTCAGCCTCCGGTCTGACCCTCGGAGGTGCTGCTGGGGAACTGCCTGCCCTGGAGGAAGTCCTGTGTCTTCCCCCCTGGACACCTGCAGCCTGGGGGGCCTCCCCAGGGCTGACTCAGTCCCCAGTGGGGGGCGTGCAGGAGGCAGCTGATGAATGATTCTCTCTAATCACTGATGTTTCTCTCTCTCTCCCTCTCCCTTCCTCTTTGAAACCAATGAAAATATGTTTTAAAATTTTTTTAATTAAAAAAAAACAACAACAACAACAAAGCAATGGGCCGTCCCATCCTGAAGCCACCCAGACGCGCTAGTCCCATCCCTCCAGCTGCCCACGGAGCAGCCACCAGGCTCTCCCACAAAAGCAAGAACCGGGCACCACCTGCTTCTTCCCCTCTCACACGCGCTGCTGTCCCTTCTGGTTGTTCTTTACAATGGGCATCAGCTCATCGTCCAACTCCCAGTGCCCCCTGAGGGACATCCCTACACCCAGCCTTCCCCTCCTTCCTATTCACCTGGAGGATTCCCTCCAGAGCAAGAATAGGCTGTCTCCGTTCTTAGTTACCATTATGGCTGCTCTTCTGCCTTTACCTAATCCTACCCAATAAAAAAGTAATATGCAAATTGACCATCATTCCAACATACAGGATGGCTGACCCCATGTGGACACAAGATGGCCGCCACAAGATGGCCTGCAAGGGAGAGCAGTTGGGAGGGACCAGGTCTGCAAGGGAAGGCAGTTAAGGGAGATCAAGTCAGCAAGGGAGGGCATTAGGGGTGACCAGGCAAGCAGAAGAGGGAAGTTGGGGGTGACCGGGCCTGTGGAGGAAGGTAGTTGGGAGGAGGGGGACCAGGCCTGTAGGAGAGGGCAGTTAGGCATTAATCAGGCTGGCAGGGGAGTGGTTGGGGGTGATCAGGCTGGCAGGCGAGCAGTTGGGAGCCAGCAGCCTGGATTGTGAGAGGGATCCCAGATTGGAGAGGGTGCAGCCTGGGCTGAGGACACACCCCACCCCACCCCTCATGCACAAATTTCGTGCACCGGGCCTCTAGTTTAATATAAACACTCTGAGAAGACAGTTTGTCATCTTCCTGCTTTGTCTGTAGTGTATAGCATTTGTCAGTTAGGTGACAAATCAATTCCATCCACCTCCATGGATGCAAACAAATATAACTGCACTCCCACCAAATGTGGACGATATAATGGAGAGTTTTTCTTCTAATGCATCTTTTCTTTAATGCTCTACTCGTCAAGCTTAGCACCTTTGTCTGCTTCTAGTTCCTCAGAAACCCTGGAAGCTGTCTGCTTCCCATTTCTCCTTTAGGTGCCCTGGCTGCATCTCTCTCTCTGGGACTTCACACAGCTCCTCCTAAGAATGTATCATTTTGCTTTTTCTTTCCCTTCCAGGTCCATTGTTCTGAAATGGGGTGATTTGTGCTCGGGTGTGTGAGTGCCCTAGAAGCTGAGCCATAAGAAACAAATGGAGAAGTCATTTCTTAGGATTCAGGTACAAGACAAAAATGCTTGTATTGCATCCAGGGGGAACCCACAGTGAAGTCACACACTTTAGCCCAATTTTCAAGATCGCCCATAATGTTTCAAAAAGGAGGAACTCACAAGCCAGTCCACACAGATTTCTTAGAACCAAAAAAAAGCACATTTTTATTAAAATGGTGATTTGCAAAACTGCAGGATGTTCGTATCATCAACACCATCAAACAGACAATGGAGACGAAGGCATCCAGGATGACATTCGGAAACCAGCCAGGTGGTAACCACAGGCCATGGGCACAGACGCAGAAGAGGGCAGTTGGAGGGTGGGGTGAGATTTCTCGGATGCAGGAAACTCGAGGGTGGGTGCTGAGTCAGGCTAACTTCGGGGGTCATTTCAGAAGCCCGGGAGGATTGGAGAGTGGTGCTACCAGCAAGAGGAGTAGCATCTTCTGTAGCACAATGGCCTGTAGCCGTAGCCACAGCCATAGCCTCTTCCGTAGCCACAACCGTAGCCACAGCCATAGCCAGATCCATAGCCACAGCCGTAGCCAGATCCGTAACCACAGCCGTAGCCAGATCCATAGCCACAGCCATAGCCAGATCCGTAGCCACAGCCGTAGCCAGATCCATAGCCACAGCCGTAGCCAGATCCGTAGCCACAGCCGTAGCCACAGGCGTTGCCATAGTAACTGCCACACATGCTGTCAGGAGGAGTGAGCTTGGCTGTGCTTCGGGAGGTGGTTCTGGGTGTGAGCCCCCTCCTGCCCTGAGCCCTTATATACCGTCCGGCGCCAGCACGCATGCCATTCCTCCTGAGCCAGCAAGCATTCAAACAGTGACATGCTGTGCGCCAGTCACGGCGGACAGCCAAGCCGCTCTGCGTGGGATGAGCTCATTATTTCGGAGACGGTTTTATTACAGAGCATCCTTCTCGCTGGCTGTCTCAGGGAGGCCCAGGACAGACCGGGATCAGAGCCCCTGTAGGCACGGCCCAGGCGAGCTGCTTTGGTGCCACACGGAAGCCAGAGAGGCCCAGGGGGCAGGGAAGAGAACTTGCTGGTTTGGGGTGTTCAAATTCCTGCCGCTCCCCGAAAGTGTGTAAGCTGCTTAACTTATTTCTTTATTTTCTCTAAATATTTTCTAATTTTATGTTTGCAGCCCCAGCTGAACCATAGCAATCGGCAAGAAGATGCCTGTAAATTAGTGATAGACAATAGATAGATAGATGATAGATGATTGATAGATAGATAGATATAAAGATAGATAGATAGATAGATAGATAGATAGATAGATAGATAGATAGGTTGGTGGGCAGATAGGTATATAGATAGGTAAATAGATGACAGATTGATACATAGATGAGATAGATGATAGATGGATGGATGGATGGATAGATAGATAAATTAGAGATAGAGATAGAGATAGAGATAGAGACAAAGACAGAGACAGAGACAGAGACAGAGATAGAGATAGGGACAGGGACAGGGAGAGGGAGAAGGAGGAGAGGGAGAAGGAAAGGATTAGGGACAGGGACAGGGATAGGGATAGGGACAGGGACAGGGACAGGGATGATAGAGACAAAGATAGAGACAGAGAGTCAGACACATGATGAAAGTCCATGATTGAGGCCATCACATGACCACGTACTGACTCAGTTGTAAACTCCCGCATGCCCCTGGCTTCTAATCCAATCACCGAGATTAGAACATCTTCCATCTTGGTTGCGTCATTCCTCATACGTCTGTCTGGTCTCTGGGTGCAGACTGGTCATGGCAGCACACGGTCTCTGCTTGTCCCTGAACCAGCCTCTCCAAGCTCAGTGCCGGCACACGGTTTGGGCTCAATCAGTATCCCCTCTTCCCCAAAAAGATGATGAAGCTCAAATGCTGGTCACTGCTTATAACCTGCTAGAAGCCCGGTGCACAAAATCCATGTGCGGGTGCGGCCTGCGGGCCTGGCCTGTGCTCAAGGCCATCTTCCCCAGCTGCCTGCAGCCAGCCTCACCCCCCACCCCGCCCCCCATTCGCCATCAGGTGATTAGTGTCTGACAGCCAGGGGAAGGACCAAGAGGTGGGCTGTTCCCGCCCGCTCGCCAGCCCTGCCCCCACAGTGGGGGGTCATCGGGTGATGGGTGCCTGCGACTGGGAAAAGGGACTGAGAGGTGGTCAGTGTGCCTCACAGTGACCAGTCAATGGTCTGAGCATCCTGAAGACTTAGTTCCAATGGTCATTCTGGTCGTTCTTATTGTTCTGCTGTTAGGGTCATTTGTATACTACCCTTCTATTAGATAGGACACAATATTACCCTTCTATTAGATAGGATACGATATTACCCTTTTATTATATACTACCCTTCTATTAGATAGGTTAAGATATTAACCTTCTATTACATAGGATAAGATATTACCCTTCTATTAGATAGGATAAGATACATGCACATGAGCTTGAGTTCTCTTAGGCACCAGTCTAAACATTTTACACACCTGTTCCTCACATGCTTCACGCCTATTGTGTGTTCCTGGTGTAGAAACTGCGTTCAACACACGTGATTCCCGTCCCCTCATCGTTTCGCACACAGTTTCACATTCTCCCCTGACGCCCACGTTAAATACCCATCCTCTCTGCACCGAGACGCCGGCTGCGGTGACCTTAACGTGATAACCTCACAGCGTGGGGGTTCCTCCCAGCACATGTATGTGCTCTCCACACGGCCTCTTCTCGCCCCCACTGACCCCGTCTGTACGCCAGTCTGCTCCTAAGAGCCCAGCGCCCACGTGACACCTGTGGACATGTGTACAGAGGCAGCCGGTGGTGGGTATAAAGCGTCTCATCTGGGAACCTCAGGCTGCAGTCCCATAAGAAATTGGCATGGTTTCTCTGAAATTTCAGGAGCAGTAAAGGCAGGGGCACTGTAGAAACAGATTTCACTTTGAGGACCGCGAAGATGTCTTGCTACTTGATTAAGTCTCATCATTGTGCCACACCAGGACAGCCAAGGGTTCGGCGAGCCTGAGGGAGGGCTGGTGAAGAATGAAGAAAAGACAGACAAAGAGAAAAAGCTGGGTCTAGGTGGATCTTCTGTGTCTGGCTGAGGCCACAGAACAGATCCAGATGGCAAACCTGATGGTTTATTTTATGGTCAGGGACAAACAAGGTAATCTACAATGTTGCTGTAAGTTTCACTTGCATTGGCAGCACTTCCTGCCCCCCCTCCCCCCACCAGCCCACTAGCTCCCCAGGAAAGAGCTTGGGAGCCGTCACAAGATCAAGCTTAATTATGCTGAAGGCTGTGCCCTCTGAGCTAGAACTTGTTTACGGCTTTGCCAGCAGGTCAGTCTGAGGCTTACCCCTATAACCGCTCCCTACACATCATAACAAAGAGGTTTTAGTCAAAGGCCATGAACAGCGAGTCCTCCTGTGGGCGGGGAAGACGCTCAGAATCCCCGTCATCGGGATGTTCACCTCCCCTCACGGGTTTCCCCAACTTCCCCTCCCCCACGCCGTGCCTCCCACCAGCCCGGCCCGCAGGCTGTGGGCCACGTGCCGACGCTTCGGACCGGAGTTTGGGGTGAGAAGCCGAGGCCGGAGCGGCGGTCACACCGGAGGCTCAGGGGCTGCCAGGGGAGCCAGACCCCTGGAGTTCCGCCCGCAGCTCCTGGCACAGGCTCCGTTCCCCCTGCCCGCCCCGTGGGGCGCTACCTCCACACGCCTGGGAGCAGGGAGCCCCGCGTTCCCGGCAGGTCTGGTTTGGGGTCACAGCCCTCCCAGCCGTGATCACACAGGCCCAAGGCCTCCTGACGGACCCCCCTCTGACAGCCAGCTCCCACAGAGCCACAGCCGCAGCCTCAGTGAGCACCCCCTCTTGGGATTGACCCCGCCTCTCACCCTGTAAACCTCCACCCTGTCTTTTACGGCCCCTATAACCACCTGGGAAAACAATGACCTCACCCCTTCCCCCCTTCCCCCACGGCTCTCACAGGACAGCGTGACTGAGGAGGGGGGCAGACAGACAATCAGACAGACAGACGGACAGACAGGAGGCGGCTCCACCGCTGCCTCCACAGCGTTCCCGCCCTCTGCTCAGCCTCCGCATCAGATAACAACCCCTTTCCTGGGTGACTGAGCGTCCGGGGCACCCGGTTCCATTTGCAGAGAGAAGGTGGACAGTCACAGCAGCCACAACATTCGCTCCTATTTCCCACCAAACTCCGCAGCAGGGAAGCTTCCTCCTCCCTTTACCCACACTCCCCACTCCTGTTGTGAATGCCGGAGAGAGCCAATGAGGGAGGGAGGGAAGAGGGAGGGAGGGAGGGCCCGGAGGGAGGGAGGGAGAAGAGGAGCGGGTGCCTTAGGCGGCCGGGGTCTGACCCGCCCGGTCAGGGTTGCCTCATCTCTCCTGCCGGAAGGAAGGAAAGGAGAAGCCAGCCGCTGTTTATCCTTTATGCTGAGTCAGCCTATGAAAGGGATTAACTTTATTTCACGATCGTATAAAATTAACTGTAAATAAGAGGCCCCGGAGGCTCAGACTCTCAGCATCCGTCACAGGAAGTGCCGCCACCCAGGTCCTAATACCCCAATCCTGCCTCACCATCCGCCTCGCTGTCCCCTCCCGTCCCGGACGAGGCTGCAGTGAGGGTGTTTCCTGCAGTGTTTAACGGTCATTCCCAGGCGGCCAGAACACCAATTCCTCCAACCAACCTGTCCCCGTCCCCTCAGACGGGGGCAGCCAGGCCCGACGTCCCAGGTGTGGCCAGAGATGACGAGACGAAGCATCCGTCTCAGAGACGCCGCTGTCCTCTGGGCTCCATCCTCCGCCCAGAGGGGAGCCTCGGTCCGTCCACACACGGACGCCCGATGCCGCACAGCCCCCGGGTGCTCGTGGTTGGGCTGCTTTGTGTGTTTTCCGTTTCCAGGTTGTAAAATCCATCTTGAGCTGCTTCCTAGTCATTTTATCTTCAAGTCATCTCTGCAGAGCTTCGAAGAATGTAGCCTTTGTCTCTGATGGGTTTGGGATTCTCTCTCTTTTTAAATAGATTTTTGTTGATTTCAGAGAGGAAGAGAGATGGAGAGAGAGAGAGAGACACCCATGATGAGAGAGGATCATTTGATTGGCTGCCTCCTGCTCGCCCCCTACTGGGGATCAAGCCCACAACACAATCAGGAACCAAACCGTGACCTCCTGGTTCACAGGTCAGCGCTCCACCACAGCCTCGCCGGCTGGGCGGGATTCTCTCTTAAGGCCACACCTGAGGTGGACCTGCCTCACCCAGCTTCCCGGACGGCTGCCACACCCACAGGTGCCCCTGGGTCCCCGCTCCCCAGGACACACAGGAGGCTGGCCCGACCGGTGGCCCCACGCCCTCAGAGTCCCTGGAGCCTCTCACCACCAGGCCTGTCTCCCGCCCGCTGCTCCGAGACACGGACACGGGCTCCTCCCTGCAAGCCAACGGTGACTCAGGGGCTCCCACACACGGAACCACACAAGGGGACTCACCGGGAGGGGGTGACTGCGTGAAAAAGTAAAACAAAATTCCAAATCCAGACAAAGCTCCAGACGCCCAGGCGTGGCGCGTGGGTCCTGAGAGACGCCCTCCGCGCAGGGGCAGCAGGCGGGATCGGCCCCCACACCTGGCCGCTCACCACCCAGGCGTCCTCGGGGCTGAGCCCCCAGGCAGCCGACTTTAAAAACAAAGTGGGCAGT